GAGTAAAATGCTGTGCTCAAGAACACAGCACAACGACCCGGGCCTGAGGCCCATTCTCAAAAGTTCCGGTCACGAACAGGGCTTGAAGTCATTTTTTTGAAATAGAAATCTAAAGTTAAGAGAAGCAGGTTTAGTCAGCTTAACCAGTCCATTTTGTTTTTTTAGCTGATAGTTTTGTTGTTCCCTTTTTTTTTAAAACATTGGAAATCCCCATCTTGAAGGAAAACAGAACAGCTTTACGGGCCCGTTAAATTACCGGAACCTTCGAGAAACGGACGCTTGGTCTTGAACACGGACATTTCGGCTAGGAGTCAGCATACCAACTATGAGGCCATCGTGTCTCCCAACTGGAAGAATAAAATCACTTTTAAAATGAAAAAAGAAAGAATGGAATAACATCATTAAATCTCCTTAGAGATCTTTTCAAAAAACTATCCCCGCCCTTATCACTGCATCCCCTCAACTGAAACTGTTTTTCAGTCTTGTTTTGTTTTTTTTTATGTTAAGAAACTCGTTACGAGGCTCCTCATCGCAGGCAATGTAAGGCCTCGTCGCTACCATTTTTCGCTGGGAACAGACATCCAGAGGGTCTTCCAGGTATCACTCGGGGACAAGAAATTCGTCAGTTACTTCCTGAGGATCCCCCAGGAACTCATCCCTACTTTATTTCACTGTTTGACCCGGACAGAAATATCCCCTTTTATTCTGCATACAAAGTGACTGCACAGCAAGCGCCCTTCATTGGAAAATACAGCCGAAGAGACGTAAAAAGAAGAAAATTTAGGAATCCTCCAGGTATTACTCTTGTGATATTTACGAGTCTTTGATTTTTTCACTCAGGGGTAGTTTCACCTGCGGCGGAATCGTACCTGGAGTCGTTGTTGGAGTCGTGAGAACGCTTCCAACAAAGTGAAAATAAAAAAAAAGTGTGATTATCTTGAAGGAATCTCAGCGGGCTGGAAGAATCAGAACGGGTCCAGTTTCTTCCGACTCCGTTATAGCTGCGACGCATATTATCCAACGAAATTTAAGTTATCACTTACGACACCAACAATCCAGTGTCCCCAGAGCACAGACAACGGAGCTGAAAATTTGTTATTTATTTATCTATTTTTTTTCAGTAAATTCTCCATAAACAAGTAGCAGAATACTTTGAATACCTCTCTCTTCCAGGTGTCCCTGGTTTGAACAACGCCTACAAAAGAGCGATACAACAAGAGCCTCTCAGCAGGGGGCACATGAATCCTGTCGCCATAAATACATTTGATATAAATTTCATGAAAGCTACATTCACCCTCACTAATACAATCCCACAATACGTTGCATCTAACAGCGGACCTTGGCAGATTTTTGAGGCTAAAATCCGCCGCTACGCTGCAGGTATGTGTGGAGATCGAGCCCGCCATGGAACTTTGTTCTTACTAACTGGATCCTCGGAATTTAGCCTTGCAAATTATCTTGAAGAAAACGGAGAATCATTTCATTCAAAAGTGGTCCTCGATGGTGTAAATCTTGCCATACCCCGTGCTGTCTGGACAGCGGGTTGCTGTGTATGGAAGGAGTCTAACGATACAAGAGTCCAAAGAGCAGAGTCTTTTGCGGTCATTAGTAACAATGCCAGGGATCAAAAATGGCTCAACCAGACTGAAATGAACGTATCGGAGCTGGAGAAACACCTTACACCGCCAGGCTCGCCATTGGTAGATTTGTTCCCTGGGGATCAACTCTGCAGACTCCCTGAGAACAATATAAAACTACAATAGAGTGAATTTTGATTTAGTCCCGTTTAACCAAAACTAACGTTATCAGTGCAGCCAATCAGAAAAAAGGCAATTATCACAAGGAACAAATGAGAACTCAAAGTAAAAAAAAAAAAA